CCTGCCATGTGCATTTGTATTTGAAAGCAAAATACTTATATGCACATCTTCAGGGGGGCCTTTTGCTACTTATGAAGACAATACCTTATCCTTTACAATTTTACATACTTTTATCCCCGTTGAAAACTTCAACCAGTTTGTCATCAATCACCAAAAAGGGGGAGATTGTAAGTGCATCTAGTGCCACCCCTAGTTGGTTTTGGAGTATTGACGACAAATCTGGTTGAGGGACTAATGTGTTTGTGAGAATTGCAGGATAAGACAGGTAGTAGTCTCTCATTGATTCGTTTTACCTACTGGAGATAACCCCTAAAAATGTGTGAAGACATTGAAGACAAAGGTGGTCTGTGAAGAGTTTCACATTAAAGACTATGACATGAGAAGACATCGTATGAAGACTATGGATTGCGAAGACATAGTTGTTTCGTAGTTTCCTTTTCTTCTTTGTTGAGTCATAGGAACCACCGTACTGTTAAGTGGGGTCCAAGTGAACAAAGTAAGAGTGACTGAAGTGATGCTCAACCAAATCCTAAGTCTTCGAGCGAAGACAATGAGAGCAAATCTTATCCAGAGCTGGATGAGTCAGCTTTACTTGTAGCCCAAGTAAAGCTGTCGTGTGTGTTTGAAATCTGACCGTTGGAACACATGTCAGCTCCTTAGTGACCCAGGGTCATTTCGGACAAATCAGATCGGGTTGCCTAGTGGCTATAAATAGCCCACCCCCTACACCATAAATTGGTGGCTGCTCAGAGTTAGTGCACGGCTTTTGTCCTTTGAGAGCAACCCACCTCGAAGCCTTTGAGAGATAAATCCTTGCGAGGAAAAATCTCTAAACACCCAGAGCTAAAGAGTGTTAGGCATCACTGAAGTCTTTCTGTCTGCGTGATCTGAAGACTTGTTACACTTGAGGACTATGAATCCTCCAGCCGGTTAGGCGTTCGTTCTGAGCATCCAAGAGTCATTGTGGATCGCCGGTGAACAAAGTCTGTGAAGGTTTGGAAGTCTACCTTGAAGACTTACCAGAGTGATTGGGCGAGAACTGTGTGTCCTTGGCTCAAGGGGAATAAGGGTGAAGACGCGGTCTTCTGAGTTGAATCTCAGCCTCCCTAACCAGATGTATAGTTGTCACAGCAACTAGAACTGGTCCAACAAATACCTGTCCTCACCAAGCAACTGGTTCTATCTCTTCCTTCTCTTTACTTACAGTTTGTCTTCGTGAAGTCATTGCCTGCTTGCATTATCTGTTTGACTTCACTGTGTGACTACTTGTTCTTATTGGCTTCATACTATCTTCCATCCTGATTCATACTGCCTAACTGCTAATAGTCTCCGTGCTTTCACTTCATTGAATACTTGACTATGGCTTGCCTAGTGTAGTCTACCTTCCGCTGCATGTTAATAGGTTCATTTCTATCGTCTGTCTTCGAAACTTCCATGTTTTGAAGACTTTCATAAAAATTGCCTATTCACCCCCCCCCCCCTCTAGTCGATAACTAGCACTTTCAGTATGGTCAGTCTGCGTCGTATGCATCAGCCGAAGCTTTCCAAACGTCAGCGACTAAGTGACGCGCACCGGGTTGGACTGCGTAAGCACCTGCCTTGTTAAAGGAGGTAGCTAGGTCTGCTCACCGGCCACGTACGCAATGTGCAGGAGTGCAAAGGGCGATGGGCCCAAGACCCCTGCGCACTTAGGATTTAGACCGGCGTGCTAACCTCTCTGACGAGCCTAGGTAGGGTTGTGGTGTGTTGATCGGCCGAGGCCGGTCATGACCTGATGGTGTGTCCGGCCAGAGTTGATCGAGCGTGTTAGGTAAGTTGGTGCACCCCTGCAGGGAAAATTGTTCTATTCGAATAGCCTTGTCCATGGTAACGGACGCTCGAAGTTGTATCCCGATCGATACAACTAGAACTGGACACTGGATGCTGAGGCATGTAATGGATATGATGGCTCCAAGATCGTTTCCTCGCAGGGAGTCGAGGAAGTGATCTCTGGGCGCTAATGTTACAACATGTTTGCTAAATATAAATTGCTATTATATACTCTTCTGAATGTTGCAAGATGCTTGGAGCTCCTTGAAGATGCTAGTCTTCGATAGGCTAGGCTTTCCCCTTCTCTTCTGGCATTCTGCAGTTTAGTCCACAGATACAACCCATTTCTTTGATACAGATGCATATTTAGTTTAAATCAGATGTAAGTCTTGCGCGTATTTTGGATGAGTACTCACGGTTGCTTTGCTACCTTCCCCCCCCCCCATACCCGATTGTTGCGACCAGATGACGGATCCCAGAAGCCAGACGACACCACTGATGACTACTACTACCCCGAGGGTGCCTACTACTACGTGACGGCCGCTGACGACCTGGAGTATTTAGGAGGCTCCCAGGCAGGAGGCCTTGCCTTCTTGATCGTTGTTGCTTTTATGCTAGCCTTCTTAAGGCAGACTTGTCTAACTTATGTCTGTACTCAGATATTGTTGCTTCCGCTGGCTCTTGTGTATTCGAGTTTATGTATTCGAGCCATCGAGGCCCCTGGCTTGTAATATAAAGCTTGTATTATTTTAATTTGTGTCTAGAGTTGTGTTGTGATATCTTTCCATGAGTTCCTGATCATGATCGTACACATTTGCGTGTATGATTAGTGTACGATTGAATCGGGGGCGTCACACCTCGTCAGCGTCCACCTCGCCACTGTAATCACCGTCGGCATTTCCTCCTTCTACCTGACTACTCTACCCTGGTTCGTAACTATCAGCATTTCCTCCTTCTACCTGACTGCTTTGTCCTGGTTCGTAACCATCATCTCCAGAATTTGACATAGATAACTGCCTCCCTCCACTGCTCTGCCCAGGATCATAGCCACCCTCGCCTTCATGTGCAGTGACCTCCTTCACGACAGGAAGCACTAAGGCAACATGATCGCATGCCCTGCGTTCACAACCTTGTAACCACCGCACCCACTCGGAGTCTCGCTCTATTGGCATCAAATAAAAGTAAATTATTAAACTTGACCGTGTCCACAATGCATGAACACCGGCGGTGTGTGTTTCAGTATCAAGCCTTAAACTTGTTGTAATCCATTCTTTCAAATGACCGACTCACCATGTTTGAGGTGCGCTCATTGGCACCTCTATGTGAGTAAATTCACTCAGATCAGCTCCCATCTCAGTTGTTTGGACAGTATCAAAACCGTAGTAAAATATGAACTTCACTACATCAGACATCTCGGCTCACCTAAATTTTTTCCAACAATGACATAAAACTATTAAGCAACAACTTAAAATATCCGCACTCCTAAAAATTTGACATGTATATATATTACAGAATATTAACGGAGCAACTAAAAAAATTCACACACCTGCAAATATATTACGAATATTTGCCAGAGCAACTACAAATATTGACAGATTTAAATATTTGACATCTACATATATTACGGATATTACCAGAGCAACTCCAAATACTGACACACCTAAACATTTGACATCCACATATAGTACGGAATACTACCGGAGCAACTTCAAATTTTCACACAACTAAATAGTTGACATCTAAATATATTTACGAATACTACCGGAGCAAATAACAATAACCGCACACCTAATTTATTTCACATCAAAACATATTACTGAATACTACCGGAGCAACTACGAAAAATAAAATGTGTGTTGAAATATACCCTTGAAACGTGCGAGCGAACGGCGAATGGCGGCCTTCAATCACCGGAACCGGAGCCGGAAACTCCACCAAACTGTCGGAGCTTCACCTCCACCACCTCCAGCACACTGCCCTAGCTTCACCACCTCCACCTCCACCGCCGCCACAACCTCGACCAGTGTGCTAAAAAAAGCTCCAACAAAATGCTCACCGTGACCACCACGAGCTACCTCATCAGTAGATCGAGGTCTCGCTCCCCTAACTATGTATAGCCCATTCACGGTGCCAAATTCGCAAAAAAATGGCTCATTTTGGTGTAGAAATTGGAGGCGTTTCGTGTTAGAAAGAGGAGAAAGAAAGAACGGAGCAAGGAGAAGGAGAAAGGAGAAGGAGAAAGGAGGAAGAAGGCAGCCGACGTGGGACCCGCACCCTGTCGGCCAGTAGCTGGCCGATCTATCCACAGAAGGCCGACAGGGGCGCCCCGTGAGCGAGCCGCGCCGACAGCCCCGTCGCGACGTGGCCTAGCCACTGGTCGGGCTGCACGTGGCCGACGGGCCGGCTGTTGGCTGGATGGTGGCTAACTAGGCCCAGTCGGCCTGCTGTGGGCTGACTAGGCCCGGTCGCAGCGGGCTGATAGTGTATTATTTTTGAAATTAATATGTCTGGCGTAATATTTATGAAAATTAATTAAAAATGTATTATTTAAAAAAATTAGCCGTTTGGTGGACATGATCCCGAGGCCACCCTAGTCGCAAGGCTTACAGATCTCAGTCCACCGAACCATGTGGTACTTTTGCTTATCGCCCTCCCACGACTCTGACAATCTCATGATGAAGCGTCTCTGGCAGGCTATAAAAGCTCATAACGAAGAGGCCGAGATCCACCTTGTCGCGGGTGTTTTCTCAAACCTACCCAAAGCTTTCTTTTTTGGGAACCTTGTACTAATACCAAAGCCAACATAACCACAAGGTCCGAGCAAACGTGTTGAGGTCGAGCAGAATATCAGGTGGCCAACTTGGAAGGATAAATCAAACGTGGCGAGCTTGTATGATAAAGAACCTGGCCTGTTACGATTTTGTAGTACCATACGAACTTGTGACACTGCGAAGGCGGAGGGTACACGTTGCAAGTTCGGGAACTGGGACCCGCTTGCCAGCGGCAGCGAGCGGCTTTGCCCCGCGCGACCAGTGTAGAGCCCTGGTTGATCTAGATTTCTCCTCGGCGGATAACTAACGCCGATTTTCAGTTGCGACGTACGCGCACGCGCACGCGCGCGCCAGCGCCTATCATATATCCGTATATAGGATAGGTTGACTGGTAGTACGATCTGTACCGCGGCCTAGCCTATGCGGAACGCCCGCGCCATTCCGCAAGCATCATCCATGCGGCCGATGCCTGAGACGGCGAGCGCGCGGAGCGACGGGGAGCCCGCGGCGGCGGCGGCCGAGGAGGAGGAGGCGGCCGGCGGCGGGGAGGAGACCGTCAAGGTGTTCGTGGCGGTTCCGGAGCAGCACAAGAACGGCCAGCTCACGCTCGCCTGGGCGCTGCGCAACCTCGCCGATGTGGTCCCCGCGGCCGCCGACGTGATGGTGGTGGTCGCGCACGTCCACGTGCCGGCGCAGACCATCCCCGTGAGTACGTACCGGCGCCCGATCACTTCCTTCTCCTCTACCAGTGCGACCTGTGAGATCAGTTCATAACTGATCGAGTTGGAGGTTTCTTCGGTAGAAATCGTAGCCAATCCTAATTATACACACAAAAAATAGAAAGATCAGTTCGTGATCGGAACAAGTCTGACTGAAATGCGCACTTGCAATCTCGTGTCTATTTTGTTTCTGATCAAATTGCAGTTAGTTAGTCATAGGCTCATAGCTAATCTCATCTGGAGTCTAATGGCTTTGACTGGCAGTGGGAAGCAAGTTCCACGCAAGCAAGCTGAGAGCAGACCTGGTGAGCGCCTACAGGCAGCGCGAAAGGTCTAAGGTGGACAAGCACCTCGAGGAGTACATTCGCCAGTACTCCACAGTGAAGGTGCAAACAGCCAATCCATCTTCATTTCCCGACCTTCCAGATCCCAGAATCAATCTGCAGGAACGCGGGGAGTACTGACCAAACTAAATTGCCCTTCATATTTTCTTGTCAGATCAAGTGTGAGAAGCTTGTGATCGAGAGCGAAGACGTCGTGAAGGGGATCACGGAGCTCGTTTCGCTGCACGGTGCGAGCAAGCTCGTCATGGGAGCAGCCGCTGACAAGCACTTCCCTAGGTATATATAACATGTGTGGCTATGGAGCACATATTTTTCATATATTTCGTCAGTCCGTTAATTGCATCAGGAATTAATGCACGTTTCAAATACATGACAGAAATCCCAGCAAAATGTTGGTGCCAAGGTCCAAGACGGCACTTGAAGTCATGCACAAGGCTCATCCTTCATGCAAGATTTGGTTTGTATGCAGGGAGCATCTCATAAGCATCAGGTACTACTATATAAGTAAGAATAAATAAGTAGCATCACGCACTTGATTTCTTCAGTTGTACATAGCAGCTCAAGTAATTCATGATTTATGAGGTTCTGACCTATGAAGCTTTCAGATTCATGACTTTTTAGTTTGGCCCATAAATTCAAACCATCTTTCGTTCAAACTGTGCGCAGGGAGGATGGTACTCTCAGAAGCCCGATACCAACTCCGGCTATCGTACCCGCACGTCGAAGCCCGATACCAGCTTCAACTATTGTGTCCGCACGTCGAAACCGATACGCGAGCAGTAATAATGCAGTTGATAGCTTGATCCAGAGGTCCATGTCCGAGAAAGTATCGCCCTTATGGCTGCCTTGTCGGTCAGCCATACGAAGAACCCTTAGCATCCTCAGCATGGAGCACGTCTCCGTGGGCTCCTGGGACAGCAACCCAAGAGATAGCGTCCCGAGCTCCTGCCGCGAGGAGGCGCCGAGCGATTCCTCCAGCCCCTTCGAACTGCCGATAGACGACGTCTTCGTGATCCATCACAACATTGCACCGTGCCACGATGATCAGGTTGTTTGCTTTTTAACAAAACCCTGCGCCTTAATCAGCTAGCACTAGCACGGACAGATTCAGGTGCATTTGTTTTCGACACAGCGTTGTAATGTAATGACTGATTGATTGCAGGCCAAGAAAACCGAGGATGTGCCCAAGCTGAAGGAGGACATAGCCAAGGTACAAGAGGACATGCCACTGTCCAAGGAAGAGGTGGAGGCACTCAAACGCGAACGTGACGACGCCATCCGAAAGCTCTCCGAAGCCGGTGAAGCCAAGGGAGAACTGGAGCAGCGAGTCATTGATCTCGAGGAGCGAACATCCCTCCTCGACTCGCAGCTCAGGCTCGCGGAGGAGACGCGCACCACGGGGCCAGGCTTGGATTTCGCATGGTGCAGCGAGTTCTCCCTGTCGGAGCTGCGGCAGGCGACGCGGAACTTCAGCGACGCCACCAAGGTCGGCGACGGCGTGTACAGAGGGGTGCTGCGCAACACCACTGTGGCGATCAAGATGCTCCACTCTCATAGCTCGTCACAGTTCCAGCAAGAGGTAAACTGAATTGTACCCCCTCGTGTACTTGTCTGTGCATTTGCTTCAGCTCTTGAGAGACAAAAATTCAAAGGCTCTTGAGAGACAGAGGGTAAACAATGCTGAAGCTCTAGATGTTACTGGTGCAGGTTGGTGTTGTAAGCAGAGTGAGGCACCCAAACCTGGTGACGCTGATGGGCTGTTGCCCGGAGGCTTCGGCTCTCGTCTTCGAGTTCCTGCCAAACGGGAGCCTGGAAGACCGCCTCGCCCGTCGAGACGACACGCCGCCGCTGGCATGGCAGGCCCGCACGCGGATCATCGGCGAGGTGTGCTCCGCGCTCGTCTTCCTCCACTCGTGCGAGCCCCGCCCGGTCACCCACGGCGACCTCAACCCGGCCAACATCCTCCTCGACGCCAACCTGGTCAGCAAGCTTGGCGACTACGGCGCCTCCCGCCTCCCGACCATGACCGACCCCGGCAGCTCGCCATGCACGGACCCGGAGCTCCTGATCACCGGGGAGCTGACGGCGGACTCCGACGTGTACTCCTTCGGCGTCGTCGTGCTCCGGCTGGTCACGGGGCAGCCGGCGCTGGGCATCGCGAGGAAGGTGGAGGAGGCGCTGGAGAAGGGCGAGATGGAGGCGCTCGTCGACCGGTCGGCCGGGGAGTGGCCGTTCCCGCAGGCCGAGAAGCTGATGCTGCTCGGCCTGCAGTGCGCCGAGCTCAGCAGCAGGAAGCGCCCCGCGCGGATGAGCCAGGTGTGGAGGGTCGTCGAGCCTCTGGCGAAGGCGGCTTCCATGCCAGTCGCACCAGAGTCTCCTGTGCATTCGTTCGGTGAGAGCCACATGCCGTCCTACTTCATCTGCCCAATTTCTCAGGTATATTGCTGAGTTGCCCCATTTTAAAGAGTGTATTAGTCTTTTTTACATTACGTATACTTTGTGATTTCAAGTTTGCCTTTGTGCTTGGTGTAGTGGGCACCACAAAATACAGGTTTAGGCAATGCTATGACCAATTTTACTTGAATTCCATCGAATATAATTTGAATCATTTGCGCTACAAATGGGGAAAAAAGCAGACTAAGGCGTAGCCTACTGGTGGTAAGGGGTTGATGCCGCCCATCTAGGTTCAAGGCATGGTAAAAAAATACAAATGGAAATAAACTGACATTTATGAGTGGTGACCATTTCTACCGGTAATCTTTTTACTGCGAAACGCGATACAAACACAAACACTCACATACATGCACGCACACACTTCACTAATGCCCCATTTCATTGGTACAAAATTGCAGGAAGTTATGAGGAATCCTCACACGGCAGCAGACGGCTACACCTACGAGGCGGAGGCGATCAAGGGGTGGCTCGATAGCGGGCACGAGACGTCCCCGATGACGAAGATGCCTCTCGCGCACCGTCATGTCACCCCGAGCTACGCTCTTCGGTCCGCCATACAGAATTATATGCAGCAGCATCAACAAAAGATGCCACCGCGATCGGTCCGGTCAACTTGATGCATTCTTGACGTCAGAAGTTCACCGTTCTGTGTCCTTGCTTAGAAGTCAGCTCCACATTTGGTGTATATATTGGTAGTACATTGTTATTTTTTCGTTCGTGAGTTGCAAAATGAGATCTACTGTGCATGTTTTCAAACACCGATGGATTTTTGTTGACATGATTATCATTGAATTGTAAGAATACTAAACCTATAGAATATCTCCTGGAAACGTGATCTACCTATTAGTCCCACCCTGAATTCGAGCTAAAGCCTCCTAATTCTGAACTAAGAGAAAGGTCTGGAGTCTTACTGGCTAGGAACACACATTTGTGTGCTAGCCAGCCCAGGTTCAAGCCTTGCCTCTATCTATTAATTTGAGCATAGTTCCTCCTATGCTCAACTCATTTTTTCTTCTTCTAACTACATAAGTGCTCGTACATTGCAACGGGGACATACATATTACTCAGTATATGATTCAACATCATTTATATCTAACTCATACAGTATTTGTAGAGATTCGACGTGATTGATTCCTTTTCTTAATGTTAATGGGCTGAATATTTATGCCTAATATTCCTTTCGGTAATATGTGTGCCTTATATGTGGTGTTGCCAAATATTGGTAGAGATTGACCATGATATGTGTGCTTGATATGTGATGTTACCAAATATTTGTAGAGGTTGATTAGAAATTGGCCGTGATTGATTCCTTCCTATAAAGACATTACTAACTATACTAAAGATTGATTTGTTTTGACAGATAAAACCGGTTTAAATAGATCGGTGGGGTAAAAGCGATTTAATAGTAGATTGAAGGGGTAAAATCGGTGGAAGAGGATAGGCATACGTGAAAGGTTGGGCGAAGGGGTGGTGGGAAGAAAGTTGAGTGAAAGATGGAACCTTAGGTTCTTTTTAAGTAGTAGAGATAGAGATTTTAAACTAAACCCTCCTAATTTCTCTCTGGGCCTCCAAGTTACCCCTTAAATAACCCCCACCCCAGAAGAATCTTTTCATAAGTGTAGCATTGCACATCAAATTATTACACTGCTACATGGTGCGCCCCTGTAGAGGTTGGACTTCGAGTAGTTGGTCCGGCCAACCCTAAGTCCAGAGAGCCGATGTTGTCCTCCATGACTATATCTAAGTATTGGGTGATTGTCACTTCGTCTGTCACACTCCACCACATTTTGCAGAGAGCCCTGCAGGATGATGACTGATTTAGGCCCGGGTATCTTGAGCATCATATGAGCATAACTTGGTGACACCAAGAACTCGGCATTGTATAGCCTCCTGAAATCGAACACCTCAAAGGAGCATAGTGAGAAAATTTCAACTCTTAATTCCACCCCGGAAGCCCATAGCGAGAAAATTCCTAGAACGGAAGAATCATATGTTCTTGTTAGACCTTTGCTGAATACTTTAATAAATATGGTTTTATGCATCTATTGATGAAGAGGTCGGGGGTTTCAACCTCCTTTTGAAAAAAATGTCGAATACATATTAAAGACTTACAGAGAAGAAACACCACGGCTTCTCCTAGGCTGATTGTGCAACCCCATTTCTCTAGCAATTTGAACTTTGAGAGTTCTAGATTACTACAAGATGGTGCTATTTTGAAATTTAGCTGTTCAAAACCTTGATAAATATAGAATGTACTACTTTTTATTTTTGCTACATAGGCTCCAAACCATATCATCCGATTGGATTGGGATATATAGTAGTACTAGTAGGAAAGAAAGAGCATGCAAATAGTTTGGTAACAACGAGGCTGATTGGAGATGCTCAAGTGATAGGAAGTTCTTGGTCAAGAAGAGCAATCTCCATCCTTCTGTCTCTAGGATTGTCTACAATGCTATACTTCTATAGATAATTGTCCGTATGTATTTTGTGCACACTCATCATGATTACATACCAAAAAATATACTTTAGCTGGCAATTGAATCAACACTTTCTTAAAAAGAAGTCGATGCTTATTGACTTGCTAAATAAGACACGACTTCATTTGGTAAACCAATAAGATGTGTTTGGGTTTGAACGAAAACTAGTGGAAAAACTAGTGGGCTTGGACGATGATAGTGAGCGAAACGCTGATGGGCGAAATATGAAACCTTACGTCTTTAGATGTGCTCTAGTTATTGCACATCTAAGTGAGCGAATCAAGCATAAAGAAAAAAGAGAAAAAAAAAGAGAAATATCCACACGAATCTCGACGTAAGATCAATGACATAGGACTTAGATGTGTAATACTTATGACACATCTAGATGTGCTTTAGCAAAACTGTTTTAAATATGTACATAAACAGAGAAGGTTAGTGTTTGCCGGACATCCAGCTACAAAGTAGTAGTTGCCGCTTCAAAGCTTTGGTCGATGCTAGTCGTTCAACCCTAAACATAACCTAGGTAGTTGCACCTTGTGATTTGTGAATCAGGTAGGGGTATGGCTCAAGTTAGAATCAGGTGCGGCCATTGTTCCATACTTCTAGGAGTATGTCGTAAGAGAGAGAAAATAATGAAATGGCAACATGACCGTCAGCAGATCACAACTGGTGGTAAGAAATGGATCAAACTCCACTAAATTAGAACAAATATAATCGTAGGATCCTATGGAGTACAAAACTAGAATCCTAAACAAGATAAAAGCACGGCGTGCACATGAATCTACGTACATGATTTTAGTTTATGTGGCTATATAGTAAATGAAATAGCCAAAAAAGAAAGCCTAAACAAAAGGATTCGAACTGTGCTAAATGGATCTGAGGCATTGAGTCGCAGAGGCTCTAGAACTGGATATTTGACGGGTAGACGGTGTCGGCCTTCCAGTTGGCGGGGATGACGTCCTTGGCGATGAGCTTCTTGCCGGACTCGCTGGTGACGCGGATGGAGAAGGGGCCCTTGAGCGGCGTGGCGCCGTCCCACCTCCAGATGGCGCCCCACGACAAGGTCAGCGGAATCCACGCGGGCGACTTGCTCTGCTGGATGTCCATCTGCACGACGTCGCCGTCGTCGGAGACGAACTTGACGAGCACGGCCAGGTAGTTGGGGTTGGAGCCCTTCTCGACGTGGAAGGTGATCTTGGTGCCGGGCGCGTACTTGCAGCGCACCCTCCTGAACTGCAGCTCCAGCTCCCCGAAGGAGCGGAGCGTCTGCTCCTTCCCGGGCGGGGCCATGGCGCCGAAGGCCTTGCCGGAGAGGTCGATGTGGTACGGCGCGATGGGCTCGTAGTTCTTGTCGGTGATGAAGATGGTGACGGGCTTGTCGGAGCACGGCGACGGCTTCTGGCACTTGATCTGCGACCCATCCACGCACGTACTTTGGCGGTCGCTCAGCCGATCAAGTAGAAGATCTAGTAAACGACGTGGATGGAGTAGACGTGGTGCGTACCTCGTAGCAGGAGCCGCATCCCTTGCCGTCCTTGAAGATGGGGACGTTGCCGCAGGCGATCATGCCGTTGTAGGGGGCCAGGTTCACGTCCTTGATCCCGCACGCGCCGCCTGCATGCACCTAGACGTAAGCACTGGCTCCGTGCAAGATCGCGATCCAAGAAAACGGAATGCATGGATATTACGTCGTACCGTTGTCTTTGGGGCCGGAGCCGGTGGGCTTGCCGTACCAGGTGGCCTTGGCGGGGAGCCACTGGTTGTTGTAGTTGGTGGTGATGTTGGGGCCCGGCGGCACGCTGGGGATGCACGCGCCGCCGGAGACCAGCGCCGCCAGGACGGCCGCCGCCAGGACGTAGGAGACGGAACCCATATCGATCGATGGACTCGTGTGTTGTTGCGTGTGAGTGTCAGTAGGTGGTGAAGGGCCGTGCGGCGGCGGGCGGTATTTGTAGGCGAGACGGATGGATCAGCGGCTGCGTCAGCGCGCGCGCGCGCGGCGGCGGGGCGGCGACGCGATCGGCGGAGCGGCGGTTTGGTCATGCGTTGGTGCTGCGCATGCGCGCGCGCGACGACGACCAGTTCACAGCTAGCTAGGAAACCGACTCGCAGTTTATTCCGTTCTCGATCTGTAGATTCTGCATTTACATTAGGAAACCTACTCGTAGTAAATATTGTGCCGCGGTAACGCACGCCAGGATGGATGGATTTACGCGATTCCTAGCTATACTTTCCTGTGGCTGGAACATTATCCCCTGCACTTATCATCGACGTGCAACAACGTGTCAGTGAACCCCTGCATCTGCATGTGGTATACTCTCGCGATCCATGGCATGCGTGCGCTGCACCGTCGATACAAAACGTTCGGTGTAGGCCTGGAGAAATTGGATCTTTTGCCTCACTTTTTTTTCTAACTTTAAACATGACGGATGGGGCCCGGACCACTTGCCATTGAGACAAGTCTGAGGTAAATCATCAAACCCTATCCTATGTAAAGTGGGGCAAAAGATCCAACTATCCCTGGGCATTCGGGTGTTGGGAAAGACAGAATTTTTTTTTGGCGAGGATAACCTTCAATATATTCATCAACTGTCAAGGCAGTACAAAGAACACCAGAAGTAAAAATACACCTAGGTCCGTAGACCACCTAGCGATGACCACTTGCACTGGAGCGAGCCAAAGACGCGCCGCCGTCTTGGCCCCTCCCTCATCGGAGCCAGGCAAACCTTGTTGTAAAACAGTCGGGAAGTCGTCGTGCTAAGGTCCCATAGGACCAGCGCGCCAGAACAGCAACCGATGTCGATGAAGAGAAGCGTAGGTCGGAAAGATCCAACCTGTAGACACACAAACATAGACAAATGAAGACAAGATCCACGTGGATCCACCGAAGACAAATACCGACCGAACCCCGCAAGATCCATCGGAGACAAATCTTCACACGCCCTCCGAAAATGCTAGAAACGCCACCAGAACGAGGACAAGGAGGGGAGAAACTTATTCCATCTTTAGAGAGCCACCGTCGCCTCCCCTCTCTGAGCAGGATACAAACCCTAACAAAACTCAAAAGAGCATGAAAAAACGAAATCCTCCCGCCGGCAAGGGCCGGGATCCACCACGCCTCCATGGCATTAAGACCACACAAGACGAGGTAGACCAACGGCGACATCGGTGGGAGGCACAAGAAACCCTAGCCAAAGGATCCTCTTCCTTTCCGTGGAAGAAAGGAAACGACCAGCCTCACATGTGCCACGATTCGTTGGCTACATACTCCCTCTTTTTTGGTTTAATTTAAAGAGCTCATCTCAAAAATTTCAAAGTGCTTTGAGTCTCATGCCTTATTTAATTCCTAAAGATGAGACAAATGAAATTAGTGGTCTTGCATGCATCTTATTCTACGTGCATCATGCAAGTCCAATTTTAGAGGGAGGATGTTGCACTTAGACTAGCTACAATGTAAAGTAACATACACATATTCCTAGACTATATTACTATCTTCATAATGGATAGTAACATAAGTATGGTACTGCAAAGCCTCATTTATTAGGTTATAGACTCATATTGCATTGGGACATGTGATGTTACAGTAACTAGCTAAGTTACTCAAACTACCTCTTTCCTCATTAACTCATTGCCACATAAGCAAATTTGCTGAGTTAGACTCGATGTTACTGCTGAAGTTACTCCCACTGTGGCTAGTCTTATTGCTTCGACAGTCGAACATGTGAGAAATATTTTATTAGGTAGTTTTGTATTCACAAAACTCGTGCCATCCACTCATCATCTACGGTTGTTGAGACTTTAGATTTGAGCCCTCTAACCGAAAGTGGGGAGTATATTGGTTGTTGGCTAATTTCTTTTTGTCGTCCAATTTCAAAGATAAGGAGGAAAGGCCCGTGAACTCTGTGAACAAACATGTGATGTGATGGTCTCATATCATGGCAGATAGTTGCATCTTGGGGCAGAACATATACTATGAAATGAATGTACCTGTGCTCCCAAATTCACCACAGCGTTTTCGGCCGTTCTATGAAACCCGATAGAAGATTGAGGCAAACTCGGGGCTGTGAACATATTTTGCAAACAAAACATTTATTTCGTCAAAATCAACCCACAGTTTAGCTTGCACTGCAATTTCACTGCATTGGATTGATTTTGGTGAAACCTAAGTGTTTTAATAACATTGAGCTAGACCATGTTTGAGCGCAGGTTGATTTCATCAAAATCCGAGGTCCATTAGCGAATTGCCAACAACTGATATGTAGTCAAACCGTGTCCGTTGGTTTCCCCCAAAGACCTAGAATCACATTGTGCATTGGGTGCACAGATTCTTTTGTTTCACATGATATGTTTTTCCATTCGGGGAGCGCGTATGCCATTTGAGTGATGCATAGTTTCATTGTGATTGGTTGTGCATATGTGCATAAATATCTGTGAAGCACTTTTCAAAACACACACGCACGCAAACACAGACATGCACATGCATGAACTTCATCCATTAAAAAGCTACTCCCTCCATTGCAAAATAAGCGTCTCAACATTAATACAACATTATACTAAAGTTTAGTATACAAAGTTGAGGGACTTATTTTCGGACGAAGGGAGTATGGTTCTTCTAGTACTCCCCCCGTTCCGAATTACTTGTCGCAAGTATGGATGTATTTAGATGTATTTTAGTTCTAGATACATCCATTTCTGCGACGAGTAATTTGGAATGGAGGGAGTACATATTAACACAGGGGATGAACCTTAATAAACATAATAGATGAGCCTATTAAGTCGGGCGCTTCCTAATGTTTCTCACACACCCATCATCCACTCATGGACCTTGACGGCACAGGTGGAGTTTCAACGCGATTTGAGAGAGGCTAAATGAATCTTAAATAATGTTGAGGGGGCTAATCTAGTGTACTATCTCCGATCCATATTACTTGTCGATCCAGCTTTTTCTTGGCTTCCGTAGTTAATCATCTAAAATCCAAGGGAGGTTGGCCTGCACGCCATGCCTATACCCATACAGTGCCAGGAAGGCGGTGGACTCATTTTTGGATTAGGAAAGGGAAGAAGGGGCCTAAGCACGGCAGATGTCGTACTTTTGAGTGGCAAAGGAAAGGGAGACCGTACTGAGGGGGTATTATGTTAAATTTGGCCCAAATAATGTTAAATATTACATGTTAAAAAATTGTTGGGGGACATGTCCCCCCTTTGGCACTCACTGAGCTCTGCCACTGCTTAACGCAGCATCAGCTAATGAGTCTACATACTTGACACCACGGGGTTGAAGCTAATTAAGCTCATACTACGTGATTCGCTCACGGAAAGGCCATCGGAAATCAGAACTTGCTCCCGTCACTCGCCCCGCCATTGAATGAGCATGAGGTCGTCAACTGCTACCGTGGCGGCTCCACCTCGTCGTCGGAGCCGTGGATGCCGTCGACGGATGAGTTGTCATTGTTGCTGTTGCACCTTCCTAATTGCAAAATTGTCTGAATTCGTGCCGCACAATCTCTGTTCAAAATTGTCCAATCAAGACGATCGCAAAACTTATTACTAATAGGTTAAAAAATATCCCTAGCCTAGTCCATGGTGACCAGATTGGCTTTATCTTTGGAAGGAACATTGTGGAAAACTTTGTTTATGCTGCTGATCTCATCAGCACCTCCTATAATAGGGAACTTCCTACTATGGTTCTCAAACGGGGTTTTAGGAAAGCGTTCGACTCTATCTCGTGGGTTTCTCTCGATAAAATCCTATGCTTAAGGGGTTTTCCATCTAAATTCAGACTTTGGATACACAACATCCTCTCAACTAGCAAAATTGTCATTCTTCTTAACGGTTTCCCACAGCCTTGGATCACATGTAAAAATGGGCTGAGGCAGGTCGATCCTCTCTCTCCATATCTGTTCATCATCGTGATAGATGTACTGCAATAACTCATTTCGCGACATCTTCATCTTTCTCTGCTATATTACCCACTCTTTGCTCACTTACCACCCACCACACTTCAGTATGTAGACGACATGTTAATTATTGCCACGGCCTCGCCCTCAACGGCCTCAACTTTGAAAGGGGTGCTTCAAATTTTCTCGCTTGCCACTGGCCTCCACATTAACTTCTTCAAAACATGCTTTGTCCCTCTGCACACTCCTCCCACTATTCAAAACACAATTGCATCCATCCTTGCTTGCCCAATCTCTTCCTTCTCCCAAATTTATTTAGGTCTACCGCCTTCACCCAACCATTTTCTCCAATTCTAGAACGTTGCACAAAAATTCCTCTCAGGTTGGCATGCCAACCTTCTGTCCAACCTCTGAGGTTGGCACTCATCACGAACATTATTGAATCCTTGCTTATTTACTTCATGCTTGATTTCCCTTTTGCAAACAAGTTGATGCTCTTAGACGTGCTTTCTTTTGGACAGCAGAGGACACTTGTTCAAAGGCTCAATGTCTCATTGCTTGGGATAATGTATTTAAACCTAAAAAGTTCGGTTATATAGGCATTAAAAACTTGCATATACAAAATAAATGCATTCTCATGAAATTTGCCGTTAAGGCTCTACTTCCTTCCCCTACCCCTTGCCTTGACCGGCTTTCCTTCAATACCCAAATGCTTTTGTAGCCCCTACTATCCACAATTATTTTCTGTGCAAAACTATAAACTCCCAATTGCCCTCACTGCATAATATTTCTTTTGTTCTTACAAACAACAGGTCCTCTACTTTCTTTTGGCTTGATACTGGCTCACTCCACAACCTATTAAAAAAAAGCCTTGCCCTTTGTCGCATTCCGTTTTGCCCTTTGTTCGAGTGGGAAACATTATGTGTTTTGGTTTAGAATTTAACCTGTGTAATTGCCTAACTTCTGCTGCCTCCACAGAATTAATTTTCTTTTTTCTCTGCTGCAAGACTTTATAGTTTCAAATGAGGAGGACTATCGCTTCCTCAACATGACTTCTCAACAAAAAAAATCTTATGAGATTCTAAGGAGACTGACGAAGATATAATGCCAAACGCATATAGCAGGCCAAGGTGCCAAATAAGATCAAGGTTTTAGCATGGTTGGTCTTCAAAGGAAGGCTAAATAAAATGGCCAACCTTGCACACATGTCAAGGACTGCCGCAGATGTTCTCATCAAACGGAGGACACGGATCACCTCTTCATCTCATGTCCAGTCGTAGATAGGATTTAATAGCGGCTTGCACCTACCTCCATTCCACCGACACCTCAATTCCTTGGGATGCAGCGACGCCACACGGACTGAACGACAGTGTATGGCCTTTTATCCTACTGGCGATTCTCTGACGCATTTGGGATGGCAGAAATGCAAAGGTTTGAACCTTGACTCTCACCCCCTCCCTCACTCTAAAACATATTGTCTCACTTATATTTGTGGTCACATCGCTTACACAAGCAGTGTGATAAGGACGATGTCTTCTCGTGGCGGTTGTTCCTCTCGTGCATTTGTGTGCCTGTGTAATCTTTGTGAATGTGCTTGCGGCTTGCCGCTTTTGAGCAATATATTCAGGCGGGGGAGCCCCCCCCCCCTCCTCTCTCGCGCGGAAATTCTAGAAAAATATGCACCAAGGAAAAAAACAAAGAGGTGCAAGGTGGGAGGAGGAGACAAGGAACATGGACGCTTGTCATGAGGTGGTATAAAATTTAGCTTTCACACACCCATGCTCATACCAACAGTACCTCCACATCGATTTCTAGATACTTTTTCTGACTTGATAGAAACACACGGGTAACTTGCCTGCCAAGCTCGCAAATGAAGCAAAGTGTTTCTCACACGCGGAATGGCCCAGTGCCATTTCTTCAAAAAATTGAGGTTGCGGGTCATATTTTCCCTCCGCGTGGAAGCTCATTGCGTACAACACCCAGCGATTCATGACCACCCAACCCCGTGCGCCTGTTTCATTACAAAATAGCAAGTGTAGGTTTCAAATTTTACTTTTGCAGATGCGTCTGAAACACCTGTTTCTCACTATAACAAAGTTGGCAACAACACTGATTTGAGCACATGCACATATCAAGTCTTCATTCATCCATCGCCAAAACACACATATCATGCAATTCGAGCTCGTTATCCATTCATCCATCAACACATTGCACAAGTATAGCATAGCAACACACACACGAGGTTAATATTGCTACTAGTTCTTCCTTCCTGGTCCTCCGTAAGCGAATTGTCCTGCTGAAATTGGCCAAAGAGAGTAAAGCTTGATGTCAGTGACATCGGTGGACAGATCATCATCGATAAAGTTGCTCCTCCCGTCCTCCATGATGACATGAATGTCTCGGATCTTCGCCGCATTGCCCCAATCAGAGCCGAAGGCTCCACTGCCCATCGGAGGAGGTGTGGTAGTTTTAGACTTGAGAGCATGGCCACCCAACACGACTTGAGTTGCTTTGTAGAAAAAGTCGTCGAATAGTGACGCCGGGAAGTAGGCGACCGGGATCGGGTCCTCGTCGTTTACACCAGCGTGCAACCACCAGTTCCCGTTCAACTTGGTCTGTGATTTTTACATGTTTCGTGGAGAAGAAGACGACTGCATTAGAGTTTTAACTATATATTCCACGTGCCTGGTGAGCGAAAAACTTGCAAGTGAACACATACGTACGTACCCTGAACAGCTTAATGGTGATAGTTTGCCGTGTCCCATTAGCCTGGGATACTGGGGCTATGACATCCCCGGGGAATATTGGAGACCCGCTCACAAGCTGGATACCACGACAATCATAGTTGACACACCCTGTGCTCTGCCGGCTGTCTTTCTGCAGTTACATTCATGTCATGATTTAATCACATCACAAGCTTACTAAAATCCTATTTCGGTGAAGAAAGAAGTCGGTGTACGTAGTTTGCGAGCTTCTAAAAATCATCATCACAAGATCAATTTGAAGGACACACTTACCGTCCAAGCCGTATAAAGGTAAGTTTGCGAGTCATTAAAGTAAGACGGCCACACCTACATATTTTTCCATGGATAAGTGAGAAAGGTTCAAGTAGAGAAAAGCCATTGCGATAACAATGCAAATCTACAGAGCATAGGAAGGCAACTTTACCACCCATCCAACGGTAATTGCACTGACGTTCTTGCTAAAATCAGCCTCGAAGTTACTTATCGAAATTGCTGCCCCGCTCACTTGGCCATCTTTGAGATTGTATCCATAGACATCCAGGGTGGCAGATACTCCATAATATCCACTGTCCCTGTCGGTGCTTTTAATATAAACAGCCTCCTGAAATTAATACATGAAGCTACATTAGTCAGTAAATATTCTCGCAAACAAATATTAGTCGGTAATTAAATACATGAAGGAACTCACGTATGGCTGAACAGTGCCACCATGCTTGGGTGGGAGCTCAATGTATGGGAGCTGTAGATGAACGGAGCTCAGTGAACGTGATGAACTTGATGCTTTCGCTTCCATGCTGGCACCCGCATTTTCCTTCAAGGCATAATTAGGGTAGCATATACTCGTCAGTGAATATATTCTATTTGAAGCAGCGCAGAAGATTCAGTTTACTGTTAGATTACCAGAGAAGAGATCGTGTAGGTTTTAGTTAATTTGGACTAAAACCACGAAACTTAATATTGAAAGGAGGGAGTATGAAGTTTGAACTTTCAAAACAAGAAACAAGATGGTGAAAACTAGAACAGCAATCTGCGGCTAGAGGATGATAGGAGATGATATGTCCAGTGTATCTAAGCCTGAACCGTAAGCAGATTCGTGCGATGTCTAGATCGATGCATGTAAAAAAAAAACAATGACATTGCAAATTTATTTAAATTGAACAATTCAACGAGGGGGGGGCACCACTGTTTAGCTTTCACCTCTTGATGATTGGTCTGATGAACTCGGCCTCCAAGGGTTTGATGTGCAAGAAGAATGCTGCAAAAGAACAAGATGTGTAGTTCTACATGAAGTCGAGACATGTTGGGAGACAACAAATAGAGAGCAATATTCTTCTGGCGCCGTAGAAGTATGTATGTCAACCTCTTTATATGGAGATCTCTTATATGGACGCCTCCATCCGACCGGTGTTCCCCCGATTGCGCGGACCCAGAGGCAGCCCATAGTCAAAATCGGAATGAAAATATGGAAGATAATATGTTCAGAGATGAAATATGGAATGTAATCCTCCTCCCAAAGATTTAATCTGTGGGGCGACGCCGATTGATTTCTTTGTTAAATGGAAAGAACCGATTCTCTCCTTTGTCCAACATTAAATGTGTGCCATGCAAACGCCACTTATATTTTTCAAGGTACCAAACGCGGTCGGAGAAATGTGTGCCCTCTGGATTGTAGCACACTTCATAAAAAAATTGCACATGAAGAACCCGGACGTTTATTTGTCTATTTTTCATGAAAACTGACACTGGGGAAATTGCTTTTTTCCATTCCGGTGTGCCTTTAATGTACCGTAAAATAACTTACAATTTTCAAGGCCATCTACTTATCTACTCTGCAGCAATCATCAATGATGATCATAAGCTAGTTGTTTGTTAGCAGTCAGCAGCCGAGGTTAGAACCTTGAGCAAAAGCTGGATCAGATCGGCTAGTCTATCTTTGAGAAGCTCGGCCATCTTGGGTACATCACAATCAGTGGCTTTCTGGTAACCTGTGGCAGACAGAGAGAAGCGAGATCAGTAAATCTGTGGTTTTCATGTGAAACGACATTGCAAAAGAGGAAATCTGGTACAGCAGAATCTCTGATGCAATACAATGCGGTCAGGGCAAGTTGTGCAAAAATCACAAAATGCAAGGTAGATCACAAGAATTGGACTGGAATTTATATCGTGTGATTCCTTTGGGTGTTTTGGTGGAGGCTTGTATTTTCAATAGGACATGAAAAAACAGAGGCAAGGCCAAAGTGTTAAGGCACAACCTTATGGCAACAAGTGTTGGAATTATGTGTCCTGCAACTATATTCAAATTACTAGGAATTACTAATATTTGGAATACCTCATTATGGAATTGTACATGTATTTATACATGGAATTGATTTACATGTTTAGCATGGAATTGTTACTTGCTGGAATGTACTTAAGTGATATATGCTTAAGGAAGCTGGTCGATTATCAGTGGAATACAATATACTATTTATATTGGAAAGACTACCCGGGTACACTGATGATTGGAAGGAGCTAGATCGTATAGTTAGATTACAGCCCTAACGTTGATCTACGTAATTAGAGGAATTTACACTCTATTATGGCGCGTTGCTCACAAGCGCGTGCTCTGGGGACATAACGGGTAGAATCCGTTAACAGACAAATATGATCGTGGTTGGTAATTTGATCTGGACTCTATCCCGGAAACTAGTGGAAGAAAAAACTAGGAATCTTATATCTGTATAAGAGGTGGACTCTTTGGAAAGACAGTATAAGAAGGTCCCTACCCCCTAGCCTCAGAGATGCGAATTGTGAGCGGCACCACGGATAAGCGCAGAGGAATTAGGGGGTAGACCGCAAACCCTACAATTCCCAACATTGGTATCAGAGCTAGGTTCACCGCCGCCGATGCTGATCGGCCATGCTCTCATGGTCTCTGTGCGGTGCGTGATTAAATCCGCTGCGTACTCTGCGCCGATCGTCTTCCGCGGTTGTCCGTTTCAATCTCCTCCCCGTCACATCGATCTAACACAGGTCGAGAAAGAATATAATATCCGCTCCTAGTAGCTCGGTGATACGTGTTTATCAAACTCCCGTCGTCGTGCACACGATCGTGCAAGTACTGGCAGCGCCCCGACTACGCACTGAATTTTCTTCACGTGATGCTCTTTATGGTCACGGTCCATCAATCCAATAGCACAGGTCTCGTGGAAGATTGCTTTATTGCTTTCTGAAGTCGCACACTGATCGAGGTCATCTAGTCCTAATGCTTCTGCCTTTGCACTTGGAACGAGGAAATCAAGGGGCAAGCCTAGCTCACGTGGAAGATCAAGAAAGATTGGAAAGGAAAGGACATGCAATTTTTAATTCACATGGATCAAGGAAAGAATTAAGTCAAGCCTAGCTTTGCTACGTACGGGCTGTCTAGGAATCAATCAGGTTAGCTTTGTATGTGCATTGCTGCCGATGCCTTGCTTTGGAATCTAGCTGACGACGGAACCCGTCGAGGAATCCTGCACCCACGGAACCCGGCGCCTTTTCGTCCATATAATCGGCGTGTCTTCTACCCTGATGAGGTTGCCGCTGCTACAAAATTTTCACTCGACGATTGGCAATCCGCACGAGCAACTGCTCAGAAAGTGCATTAGTTGAAGGAAGGAGAAGGATTTTGTTGTTGTTGTTTATTGGGCCTACCATCTGGCCAACTGCACGGCCAACCGGACGGCTGGAAGATCCACTTGCACCTGTACAGGCGTGCTACAAGGGAAGGGACGCTAATTACAAATCCAACTAGCATCTATTAATTAATTTATTATATTATATTATATGTTGATTAACGGACTAACTTGTTTGATTCCTAATCTACTGCATGTACGTCATACAAGGAAAATAAGTCCACTCCTTGGAAGAACTTAAGGAGGACTCTGGGTTAAATGTGTGGATGCACTGCACGGAGCAAATGATTACATTGAAAATTTCTATGGTGGAAATATTGTCCGGAAAATTACACATAACCTGGAAAGGGATTTCGGAGAAGTGTCATTATTGAGCATCACTTATTCAAAGAGGAAGCTGGGGGTCACTTAAGGAAATTTGCTCTTCATTTATCGGTATGTCTGATGTTAATGTTTGCACTATATTTTTATTTGTGGCTATTTCTTTTAAAAATAGATGGAGTATGGTGTTTGTTTATATACATCATGTATATTGGAGTACAATAGCAATTTTATTGGCATGCAACAATTCCGAAGGGAAAACTAATGTACTTAGGAATTAATTGTGAATTTGATATACTTTGGATTGGAAATTATGCCATCAAACTCCTTTTGTGGAGGAAAACTATTATTGTTATAGGACAGGCTATTCAACTTCAGTGAGAAGGGATTTAATCTATTGCTCCATCTTGGAACCTATTGATTATGACATACTATTTGGAAAAGGGAGAGTGGAAATATTGCTCAATGGTTAAATTAGTGCATTATGATTTTCACACAATGGTCCATCTTTCTTGATGTCCATTGGAAGTTGGTAGACCAATTTTTTTTTATTGGGCAAAGATTACTCCATATGGAGGAATATCGACAATGGGAACACATGCTTGGAATCTTATCATCTACACCATCAATGACTTGGTCACATATCTTGGAACTGGATCAAGAGGCTTATTGATTCTGGAATTTTAAACTTTAGTGGGAGGACTAATGATACATGTGAAGCATATATGTGTTTTTTTTTAATACACCTTGTTTATTAAGGTGGAAGGAGATGAAAGGGCTTCACATCGTTTCCTTTTTATATAGTTACGGTATTTCTTTGGACATCCCCACTAGAGGTCACATTGTTTATTTCATCTCACTCTTCCATGATTACACTTTTACATGGTTATGCTTATATTTTATTATACAAGTCGGAAGGTTTTATTGTGCTGGTCACATGTTATACTGAAGTGGAAAATCAGTTGATTAAATAATATCATAGTTTTAACAACCGATTGGTGGGGGAAGTACACTTCAGGAATATATCGTTTGTATGTAAAGAGCATGGAATTATTCACCATTGTTATATACCGTACACTCCACAATTGAACGGAGGAATTGACTGTCTTGTATACGAAAGAAGCATTGTGTACTGTCATTTGTTGTATCTTTCTCCATCTAGTTCAGTCACTTGGCTGGAAGGAAATATTCTATTTTGGCATGAAATTCACAGTTATTACAAAGCGCACACCAGGAATTTTTTCATGGTTCTTCTAGTGGATCAAAGGGTGTTTCCTTAGTTATCTGGAAAATGAATACTGGTGGAAAGTAGGAACACAATCATTTTTATCATCAAGGGTGAAATTATTGACAATCATACTGGAATATAATCTTGACCCCAAGGAAACTACAAGTGACACTCCCAACATGACATGCTTAGGATAAGTGGGAGGAATTAACTTGGAATGTAATCTCTGGATAATTGTTATATGATTTTGGGGGGGAAGTCACTCTAAATACTAGAGGAAAACTCCTAAGAAGGATTAAATTTTTCATCAATGTCAACTATGAGTGGAAGAAATGCGGGAAGGAATAAACTCAATAAGGAAATATATAGTTTGGGAAGTTATTATCATACCAAACAACCGCAAGCCCATTGTTTGTAAGCTTTTTTTTGTAAGGAAATTTGGCTCATTGGAATATTATAATATCACTCTTGCTATTCAGTTCTTTACACAAAAGGAACATATACTTTATGGAAACTCTCTCTCCTGGAATATAGGGAAGAGGAGCTAAAGACATGGTTTGCTAATTGAGTATATTAATGTATGGTCTTATAACAAGCTTCACATCAATGGAATAGCAGGTCATATGGTTTTTTGAATGAAGCAAGGCGGTCATCTACAAATGTAAGTGTAAAATAGTTTACATTATATTGTATACATTAACATTCTTTGGCTGTTTGTGCATTGATAACTCACATTGATGGAAGTGTAAGCTTGGTCATTTTCTAACTTTCATATGAAAGGAATTTCTGGAGCTTCCAATGTTTCAGGAGTGGAAATACATAGAAAATATTTTGAAGTGTTTCTCTATGGAAAATTGCAAATATGTTAAAAATACCTTTGACAAAGGAAATCATACTTAGTGAGGAATTATATTTGAACTCCTAAGGAAAAATGGAACAATAAATGGTACTGGAATTGATATGTATCTTCATTATATTATCATACCTTAGCTACCGGAATTTATGTTGCATTCAAGCAATGGAAGGAAAGACGAGCAGCTAAGGGAATCTCACACATCATATAAGATTGTGGAAAGTGCATCACAACCTGTCACTTGTTCTAAAATTTATATTAACGGTAAACACATTGAGGAAGTTATTATTCTATCTACGAGATGAGAAATAAGTCCAGGTACGCATATTCAATTATTGTTTTAAGTACTAATATGGTGCAGGTTCACTGACCGAAGTCAGGAATTTCTTACAAAGCATGGTTACTGATAGAACTTCATTTAGTGATTGGATTTGATATGTATGTGGTTTTAAAATTTTATTCAACATGGTTATCTTATACTTGACTCGATGTGGAATTATTCATATTATTGATATATGTGGTTGGAAATAATTGATGTGGAAATTCACTTGAGGAAACAAAATACTCAAGGTGCCTATAAAGGTGGAATTACACTCGAGGAAATAATACTCGAGACGCCGAGGACAACTATGCTGGAATAATTAGGCGGAAATTTAAAGTCTCTCATGTCACAGCAAGGAAACATATTGAAGGGAAGTATCACTATATTTATATATTTGTGGGTTTTCAACATTGTGTTAATATGATTGTTGATCCCTTGACTAAGCCTCTTAGTCAGGAGGTATTTGGCAAGCATGTTAAGGCTATGGGTTTACGAATATTTGAATGGTCGTTTGGGACAAGTGGGAGATGTTGGAATTATGTGTCCTGCAACTATATTCAAATTACTAGGAATTACTAATATTTGGAATACCTCATTATGGAATTGTACATGTATTTATACATGGAATTGATTTACATGTTTAGCATGGAATTGTTACTTGCTGGAATGTACTTAAGTGATATATGCTTAAGGAAGCTGGTCGATTATCAGTGGAATACAATATACTATTTATATTGGAAAGACTACCCGGGTACACTGATGATTGGAAGGAGCTAGATCGTATAGTTAGATTACAGCCCTAACGTTGATCTACGTAATTAGAGGAATTTACACTCTATTATGGCGCGTTGCTCACAAGCGCGTGCTCTGGGGACATAACGGGTAGAATCCGTTAACAGACAAATATGATCGTGGTTGGTAATTTGATCTGGACTCTATCCCGAAAACTAGTGGAAGAAAAACTAGGAATCTTATATCTGTATAAGAGGTGGACTCTTTGGAAAGACAGTATAAGAAGGTCCCTACCCCCTAGCCTCAGAGATGCGAATTGTGAGCGGCACCACGGATAAGCGCAGAGGAATTAGGGGGTAGACCGCAAACCCTACAATTCCCAACAACAAGCACATACTCATGAATCATGAGGGATGAAGCCCTGAGAACAGGGCAAAAGTGATTTAGAACGAAACGTACCGCCATGGAAACTCAGAGGTATCTATTCCAGATCGATGCAATTGATCAACGTATTGCAGTGCTTCTCGGCACTCTTCCCTGTCATCAAAGAACTCCTTCTTATCGCCTTCCATCTGATAAGTATCATTCCCTTTTCCAGTGACAACCTGAAGGATGAACAAAAGCAATCAGGAATAAGGACCAAGATGGACCAACATGTGGAAGATGGTCAGCAGTAAAAATGTAATACATGCTATCACCTAGAGGGTCAAGCCTTCTATCTCATAACATTAATGCAACTTCTTAGTTGTTCACTAGCATATTAAGTTAACTGCAGATAGTAACACATCAATCTACTTTCAATCTTTCTGAGCATGTTCTACATTCTTATAGATTAATGCATTTGGGGATTAGATCTTTGAAATCATTATAATTAAAATCTGACAAGAGCCAAGATCAGCTTCAATAAGCATTTTTACACAGGATCCTACGCATGGAGATTCAAGTGTAGCATATTTCAACAATTTGTTCATATAGGATTATACGGTGACTATGGACAACAGCAAAGCTTTCCTTATAGTGAAGAAAATCATAGAAAACTTACAACAACATCGCCTTGCTCGCCCATTGCAACAGCAGCTCGCACTGCAACTCTTCTAATATCATGTAAGAAGAGTCTGTGACCATTTGGTAGGGGCGGATAATAATCATTTGCACCATGCTTCAAGTATTCTTCCATGGTCCATCCTACACCAGACAACATATCGTCCAGGATATCCACTGCTCAGAATAGACCAAGAAATGTGTAAACTTCAGCTCACTCATTTATTTAATAACATTAGGATCTCATAACGAAATATACTAAGGACCATACATGGATCTTCACTTGCTGGATTGTCGGATGTCAACATAACAACATCACTTTTCTCAGCAGCAATCTTTGTCATCATCGGCCTCTTCCCTCTTTCTTTCTCACCGCAACATCCAACAACTACAGAGAACAACATACCAGGAGGCTCAGTTTGTAATACCACAACCAGAATAAAGAATATATAGCAAAACGTACAGCAAATTAACAGTTTGAAACCAGTATAAACTTTGTGGAGGCGGTGTGTTAATGAGAACTATTGTATGAGAGAAAGTATCATACCAGTGACAATGCGCCGTGGGCCTAGTTCCTTTACACTGTCAAGAAGCCTTGACAGAGCTTCCGGTGTCCTCGCATGATCAATGATCACCCCAAAGGCTTGCTCCTCATCAATTAGCTCACACCGACCTGGGATTGCATCCACCTCTTCAATACCTTTCACTATGTCCTCCAATGGCGCACCCACTGCAACACCAACTGCCACAGTTGCAAGGATATTGTAGATGTTGTCTCTTCCAAGCAGTCCAGAGGAGATTTCAAGGATTCCGTGCGGTGTCTGTACGAGAACCTCCGTCTCAAACAGGGAAAGCTGGTACTTGAGAGTGTGCACATCAGCCTTCTTGTTCTCAAATGAATATGTCACCACCGGGACACCATGCCCCCCTTGGGCGGCGAAGAATGGTGCGCTCGGATCATCGATGTTTACCACCTTACGGTGGCGCTCAGGATCCACCATTCTGGAGAAAAGGGAGGCCATGCTGCTCATGTACCCCTCGTATGTCATGCTAGCCTCTAAATTGGCATGCCTAACATTGGTCAGCACGGCGATATCGTAATCTATCTCACTGTCCACACCTGATGGTAGCATCTCATCAGTGGTCGTCTCCAACACAACGGCTTCAGCGCCATTGTGCAACATCGTTGCCATCAGCTTCTGCACGGCCATCGAATCACCTGATGCAGCAGGTTGCGCATCCAGCTTGTTGCTGCCGAAGGCATAGGCTCCAAGAACGCCTACCATGCCGGTCCTGACACCCATGGCCTCGTACATTGCTTTGACGAGGTGGGACGTGGTGGTGACCCCGTCTGTGCCCGTGATGCCAATAACGGCCATGTCCTTGGAGGGCCGTCGGTAGAGGCAGGCAGGGAGCACGCGGAGAGCGGCCGTGATGTCATCGACGATGACCAGAGCGCGACAGGCCAGGGTGCCCTCGATGTCCACGTCCTGGTCGGCCACGACGGCAACGGCACCGCGCTTGTCAGCCTCGGTAAGGCCAGCAAGCCCGCTCTCTCCCACGCACACGAAGAGGTCCCCGGCCGCCACGAGGGTGGCGTCGTTCTGCACCCCCGAGAGCGCGACGTCCTGGTCGCCCGTCACCGCTACCGGGACCAGCTTGCTCTCGTCGAGGAGCTCGGCCAGCGTCATGCGGAAGGCCGGCTGCCGTATCCTGTCCCCCTCTAGACCGAGCTCGTCCGCCACATCAAAGGCTTCGCCGTCTTCGTCGAGCGGCAACCCCTCGTCGCCGTACTCCTCCTCGGCTTCGTCGTCCTCCTCGTCAGCCACGGACGCCACACTGAGGCCCTGCAGCCTCCGAATCTCGTCGAGGTCGATGGCCTCCTCGGGGGACAGCTCGTCGGCGGGGACGTCCACCTCGGGCGGCGGAGGCGGGGTGGGCTTAATGAGCCCGCGCCGCGTGAACTCCTCCCTCTTCTCGGCAATAGCGCGGTCGATCTCGTCGAAGAACTCGTCGTCGGGGTCATAGCTCCCGCCGGCGGGGGCCGGGGGAGGGGACGAGAAGAGCGGGTGGTCGGCAGTGACCTCTGGCTGGTCAGCCTGCTGCCGTTTCCGCGCTCGCTCCACGTGGCGCGCGAGCTGGTCGTACCGGTTGAGGCCGTGGGACGAGTCCTCGGCGGCCTCGGGGGGCTCGTCGTCCGCGGTGGGCGGCCGGAAGCGGCGCCCCGCGGCGAGGCGGAGAGGGGCCCGTCGCGGGGGCGGGGGTGCTAGGGCTCGGGGCGGCGGGCGGGAGGTGGAGGGGAAGGGGAAGGGGAAGGGGAGGTGGAAGGCGAGGTGCGGCGCCGTGGCCATGGGAGACGAGACTGTGGGGGTTTGCGTCGCTGACAACAGGAAAGGTGGGACGTTTAGGATTGGGGAAGACGGGGATGAGCCGATGAGGTGCGGTGTTGCTTCGGGCCGGATTGGTGGGCTGACTTTTGAATTTCGTCCGCCCGGCTGAGCAAATAAATGAACGAAGCTACTCCCTTCCGTTACTCAAAAGAATTGCAAGTTCTCAAAAACATTACCTCACAAAAAATTGTCTAAAAAAATTACTCAGAGCAACTCCAACGCGGCAGCGCTTTTTTTTTTTGTCCGTTCGGGTCGGCCACCCGCTCGGCGTCCGCCAGGTTTGAGATTTAGATCGGCAGTGCACCCAACACGTCGACCCATATTTACCGGCATGGACTGCTGGCCGCCCTTTTTCGACAAATATGCACAAATTTTCACAAGCAAACATATAGTTTCAAACCAAATAAATAGCATAGTTTTACAAGCCGAATAAAAATAAATAGTGTCACATAGTTTTGCAAGCCGAATAAAAAAGATACATCTATTGGTTGTCAACATGAGCCCACATATATTCAACCAAATCATTTTGCAATTGCATGTGAGTTTTTCAATCACGCATGTCATGATGAAATTGGGTCAACTATTCAAACATTGCCGCTCCTCCATGATCAGGCACAACATTCTCACCCTGAAAGTGAAACCCTTGATCGTAGATACGTTCCGGGCGCTCATATTCTACGATCATATTGTGCATGATCACACAAGCAGTCATCATCTCCCACAGCTTCTTCGTGCTCCAAGTACTAGCAGGATACCGAACGATGCCCCATCGAGATTGCAAAACACCAAAGACAGGCTCGACGTCCTTCCTAGCACTCTCTTGCTCTTCGGCAAATCTTTTCTTCTTCTCTCCGACAGGGTTGGGGATTGTCTTCACAATATTGGTCCACTGAGGATAGATACCGTCACCTAGGTAGTATCCTTTATCGTAGTTGTGGTTGTTGATGGTAACGTTCACCGGTGGGTTGTTGCCTTCGGCAAGCCTAGCAAACACCTGCGAGCGCTGAAGCACGTTGGTATCATTGTGTGATCCGGCCATGTCAAAGAAAGAGTGTCAGATCCAGAGATCTTGTGAGGTTACGGCCTCAAGTATGACAGTGCAAGCCCTGACATGGCCCTTATACTGCCATTGCCAAGCAGAAGGGCAGTTCTTCCACTCCCAGTGCATGCAGTCTATACTGCCAAGCATCCCTGGGAATCCTCTGCTGGCATTCATCGCCAACAAGTGGGATGTATCTTCAACAGTCGGCTCTCTCAGGTACTCAGGGCCAAATACAGCAATCACAGTCATGCAGAACTTTTACATGGAGTCTAGACATGTAGACTCGCTCATACGGACGTACTCATCAATGAGATCACCGGGCACTCCGTATGCGAACATTCGGACGGCTGCAGTGCATTCCTGATAAGATGAGAAACCAATCTTTCCAACGGCATCCTCTTTGCACTCAAAATAGGCATCGTATCCGACTATCCCTCTCTAATACGGTTGAAAAGATGCCTACTCATACGGAAACGCCGCCGGAATTTTTGATGTTTGAACAACGGGTTGGTTGTGTCAAAGTAGTCCCTCCAAAGAAGGAAATGGTCGCTCTCTCGGTTGTGATTTGTATCTATAATTTTTAATCGTTCTATGTTGTTATGTTATCATTCTTGAATGTTTTACAATCATTTTATAGCAGGTTTATCTCAATTTTTTGGGACTAACCTATTGACATAGTGTTCAGTGTCAGTTGCTATTTTTTGCTTATTTTTTACTTCGCAGAAAATCAATACCAAATGGATTCCAAACGGAGCGAAACTTTTTGGTGATTTTTTCTGTACCAGAAGACACCTATTGGGCCAAAGAAGTACCAGACGGGGGGCTGATACGTCTCCAACGTATCTATAATTTTTAATTATTCCATGCTATTATATTATCTGTTTTGGACGTTAATGGGCTTTATTTTACACTTTTATATTATTTTTGGGACTAACCTATTAATCGGAGGCCCAGCCCAAATTATTGTTTTTTGCCTATTTCAGTGTTTCGTAAAAAAGGAATATCAAGCGGAGTCCAAACGGAATGAAACCTTCGAGAACGTGATTTTTGGAACAAACGTGATCCAGAGGACTTGGAGTGGACGTCAAGCAATCAACGAGGCGGCCACGAGGCAGGGGGCGCGCCTACCCCCCTGGGCGCGCCCTCCCCCCCGTGGGCCCCTCGTTGCTCCACCGACCTACTTCTTCCTCCTATATATGTTCACATACCCCGCAAACATCCAGGAGCACCACGAAACCCTATTTCCACCGCCGCAACCTTCTGTACCCAAGAGATCCCATCTTGGGGCCTTTTCCGGAGCTCCGCCGGAGGGGGCATTGATCACGGAGGGCCTCTACATCAACTTCATGGCCCCTCCGATGATGTGTGAGTAGTTTACCTCAGATCTACGGATCCATAGCTAGTAGATAGATGGCTTCTTCTCTCTCTTTGGATCTCAATACAAAGTTCTCATCGATTCTCTTGGAGATCTATTCGATGTAATCTTCTTTTGCAAGTCACTGGGAAAGGACACCGCAAGATTGAACCCAAAGCTAAGCACTTCCCCCATTGCAAGAAAGATCAATCTAGTAGGCCAAACCAAACTGATAATTCGAAGAGACTTGTAAAGATAACCAATCATACATAAAAGAATTCAGAGAAGATTCAAATATTGTTCATAGATAGACTTGATCATAAACCCACAATTCATCGGTCTCAACAAACACACCGCAAAAAGAAGATTACATCAAATAGTTCTCCACAAGAGAGGGGGAGAACATTGTATTGAGATCCAAAAAGAGAGAACAAGCCATCTAGCTAATAACTATGGACCCGTAGGTCTGAGGTAAACTACTCACACTTCATCGGAGGGGCTATGGTGTTGATGTAGAAGCCCTCCGTGATCGATGCCCCCTCCGATGGAGCTCCGGAACAGGCCCCAAGATGGGATCTCATGGATACAGAAAGTTGCGGCGGTGGAATTAGGGTTTTGGCTCCGTATCTGATTGTTTGGGGGTACGTAGGTATATATAGGAGGAAGGAGTACGTCGGTGGGGCAACAGGGGGCCCACGAGGGTGGAGGGCATGCCTGGGGGGTAGGCGCGCCCCCTACCTCGTGGCCTCCTCTTTTGTGTCTTGACGTAGGGTCCAAGTCTCCTGGGTCTTGTTCGTTGAGAAAATCACGTTCCCGAAGGTTTCATTCCGTTTGATATTCCTTTTCTTCGAAACCCTAAAACAGGCAAAAAACAGCAATTCTGGGTTGGGCCTCCGGTTAATAGGTTAGTCCCAAAAATAATATAAAAGTGGAAAATAAAGCCCAATAATGTCCAAAACAGTAGATAATATAGCATGGAGCGATCAAAAATAATAGATACGTTGGAGACGTATCAAGCATCCCCAAGCTTAATTCCTGCTCGTCCTCGAGTAGGTAAATGATAAAAACAGAATTTTTTATGCGGAGTGCTACTTTGCATAATTTTAATGTAATTCTTCTTAATTGTGGTATGAATATTAAGATTCGAAAGATTCAAGACAAAAGCTTAATATTGACATAAAAATAATAATACTTCAAGCATACTAACAAAGCAATTATGTCTTCTCAAAATAGCATGGCCAAAGAAAGTTATCCCTACAAAATCATATAGTCTGGCTATGCTCCATCTTCACCACATAAAATATTTATATCATGCACAACCCCGATGACAAGCCAAGCAATTGTTTCATACTTTTGGTGTTCTCTAACTTTTTCAATCTTCACGCAATACATGAGCGTGAGCCATGGACATAGCACTTATAGGTGGAATAGAATGGTGATTGTGGAGAAGACAAAAAGGGAGAAGATAGTCTCACATCAACTAGGCATATCAACGGGCTATGGAGATGCCCATCAATAGATATCAATGTGAGTGAGTAGGGATTGCCATGCAACGGATGCAGTAGAGCTATAAGTATATGAAAGCTCAACAAAAGAAACTAAGTGGGTGTGCATCCAACTTGCTTGCTCATGAAGACCTAGGGCATTTTGAGGAAGCCCATCATTGGAATATACAAGCCAACTTCTATAATGAAAAATTCCCACTAGTATATGAAAGTGACAACATAGGAGACTTTCTATCATGAAGATCATGGTGTGATACGTCTCCAACGTATCTATAATTTTTGATTGCTCCATGCTATATTATCTACTATTTTGGACATTATCGGGCTTTATTATCCAATTTTATATTATTTTTGGGACTAACCTATTAACCGGAGGCCCAACCCAGAATTGTTGTTTTTTGCCTGTTTTAGGGTTTCGAAGAAAAGGAATATCAAACGGAGTCCAAACGGAATGAAACCTTCGGGAACGTGATTTTCTCAACAAACAAGACCCGGGAGACTTGGACCCTACGTTAAGAAAGAAAAGAGGAGGCCACAAGGTAGGGGGGCGTGGCCACCCCCACCAGGCGCGCCCTCCACCCTCGTGGCCCACCTGTTGCTCAACCGACGTACTCCTTCCTCCTATATATACCTACGTACCCCCAAACGATCAGATAAGGAGCCAAAACCCTAATTCCACTGTTGTAACTTTTGTATCCACGAGATCCCATCTTGGGGCCTATTCCGGAGCTCCGCCAGAGGGGGCATCGATCACGGAGGGCTTCTACATCAACACCATAGCCTCTATGATGAAGTGTGAGTAGTTTACCTCAGACCTACGGGTCCATAGGTAGTAGCTAGATGGCTTCTTCTCTCTTTTTGGATCTCAATACAATGTTCTCCCCCTCTCTTGTGGAGAACTATTCGATGTAATCTTCTTTTGCGGTGTGTTTGTTCAGACCGGTGAATTGTGGGTTTATGATCAAGTCTATCTATGAATAATATCTGAATCTCCTCTGAATTCTTTAATGTATGATTGGTTATCTTTGCAAGTCTCTTTGAATTATCAGTTTGGTTTGGCCTACTAGATTGATCTTTCTTGCAATGGGAGAAGTTCTTAGCTTTGGGTTCAATCTTGCGGTGTCCTTTCCCAGTGACAGTAGGGGCAGGAAGGCAAGTATTGTATTGTTGCCATCGAGGATAATAAGATGGAGTTTTCTTCATATTGCATGAGTCTACCCCTCTACATCATGTCATCTTGCTTAAGGTGTTACTCTGTTTTTAACTTAATACTCTAGATGCATGCTGGATAGCGGTCGATGAGTGGAGTAATAGTAGTAGATGCAGGCAGGAGTCGGTCTACTTGTCTCGGACGTGATGCCTATATACATGATCATACCTAGATATTCTCATAGCTATGTTCAATTATGTCAATTGCTCAACAGTAATTTGTTCACCCACCGTAGAATACTTATGCTCTCGAGAGAAGCCACTAGTGAAACCTATGGCCCCCGGGTCTATCTTCATCATATTAATCTCCTACTACTTAGTTAATTCCTTTGCTATTTACTTTGCCTTTATTTTACTTTGCATCTTTATCATAAAAATACCAAAAAAATATCTTATCATATCTATCAGATCTCACTCTCGTAAGTGGCCTTATAGGGATTGACAACCCCTATTTGCGTTGGTTGCGAGGATTTATTTGTTTTGTGCAGGTATGAGGGACTCGCGCGTAGCCTCCTACTGGATTGATACCTTGGTTCTCAAAAACTGAGGGAAATACTTACGCTACTTTGCTGCATCATCCCTTCCTCTTCGGGGAAAACCAACGCAGTGCTCAAGAGGTAGCAAGAAGGATTTCTGGCGCCGTTGCCGAGGAGGTCTACGCAAAAGTCAACATACCAAGTACCCATCACATACCCTTATCTCCCGCATTACATTATTTGTCATTTGCCTCTTGTTTTCCTCTCCCCCACTTCACCCTTGCCGTTTTATTCGCCCTCTCTCTCTATCCTCCCTCTCTTTCCCTATTTGCCTCTTTTTGCCCGCTTGCTTTCTGTTTGCTTGTGTGTTAGTTTGTTTGCTTGTCACGATGGCTCAAGATAATACTAAATTGTGTGACATCACCAATACCAACAACAATGATTTTATTAGCA